TCCTTCCCCTGTTAAGCAAAACCCCATGTGCTTATGGTCACTTGTGACATGACAGAACTATGGATACTTCCATCAAAAACTCTAAATTTTCTTGTGAAAGCCACCATGGAAAGTACTTCACACTGTCCATCTATTTCACAAGTGGAACCTATCAGCCATTTTTCTAAGTTACTACTAACATGCTTCAATTTATATTTACTATAAAATTGTCCACAAGTCTGAATGACAGAGAAGGACTCTGAGATGCCAAGAGCAACGGAAACACTTCAGAAAATCTTCCCCATCTGTTGGATTCACTTGGCCATTGATGTTTCCACCAACTTCTGGAACAACCACCTGCTTCCCCTCCATACCCACCTTCACATCTCTCAAAATAAACCCAAAGGCATTTCAGAAATACTTCCTAGGTTAAAACCTAGGGGGAGAACAAGTTCATTTGGAGTCATCTCCCTTCTATCCAAGTGACTCTACATGTGAGGTAGAGGAATCCAAAGGTCCCCTAAAAGTAAAATCAGTGCTTTCATGCATGCAGCACCAAGTGACAATCTGGGAACTCCAAACATGAAAGCTGCCATGCAGAATTCTCTTTATCCATCATGTGTAGTTTATTTTAAAGAGAACAGTTATTAAGACATTTTTATACTAGTAAGGTCCAATTAAGTACCTGTACTCAATATTCATGACTATTTGGTCAGACTGCATTAAAATTCCCAGGTGAAAGAGATAAGAACTGTCAAATGTCTCAGAGAAGGAAACTGAGAAGCATGATCTAACAGACAGCAAAGAAATCAAGAGTTTGATATTCAGGAAAGGAATAACGTCATACAAGTAAAAACTTCCACGGTTTATACAGATAAGACAATCTTGATTAAAAAACAGAATTTGATTATTTAAGTTTTCTCTCTACTTTATAGTGTAATCACTAGAATAATAATGTTATATAAATTTAATTTCAGCAAAATAAAATTACTAAGATTGTCTACGCAACCCATGTAAGCATATATAATTTTATAAAAAAGGACCAAAAGACTGTGTTCACTGTATTCCAACAATTATTGAAAAATATCACCATTCTATTCAATTTGTTTAATGGGAATTATTGTAAAGTGTTTCATTCTTCATTGCCTCTTCTTGCTTATATGAGAACATAATAAAGACTGACATGTACTGCTTCTAGGTCTCACCTTGTAACCAGGAGCTTAATAAAACCCCCTTGGTGAACCAGATCCAGGGAAAGATGTAAGTTTCAAGTTAGATATATAAACATCCTAACAGTTCTGTGTGCTTGTATTTACAGTTCTCAGGAAATGAAACACTTGAGGCACAAAATGTACATAAACACTCAAGCATCATGTGACAAATTGTAGCTAATTTTAATCATGTAAACAAGGGTCCATCCAATATCACACTGAAGTAATTTCCCATTTAATTTCAGTCTTATTGAAACTCTAAAGGTAATTAGAATTTAAACCAAAACTCTCTAATTCTATTGATGAAGAAAATGCACCAAATAATAAGATGTGTAGCTCCACGGCACACTCCATCTTTTAACCTTTCTTCACTAAGAAAAAAACAACCAAGACAACATCTGTAATTCTACCTATGGAAAAGGGTTTTCAAACCCACCCAAAATGGCACATACTCAAAAATGACACATGCAAACACAATTCCTGAGTTTCAATATGCACCCATCTCAGAACAGGACTAAGAAATGTGACAGATGCCACTGCTGTCCCTAATACTGCACCCAGCCAAGGAGCATGGAAAGCTCCCTGAGGATGTCTGAGGAAGCTGGGAGGCAGGGACAGAACTCACTCCCCAAAGAACTTCCAGCTGTGACATGTGAGCCTCACTATGCATCTGAAAACGAGTGTATTTTTGGGAAGGACAAGAGCTCCGCAAAAATACAAAGTAGCTTCAATTTACACACCTTACAGAGACATGAGCTAAATCCAGGCTTCCTCCAGTGTCTCAAAGACCCTTTAAAATACTGTCAACACCCATCAAAAAATGTCTATTCCTTCTATGTCTGTTCAGACCTTCAAGACAGATTATTTTTTTTTTGCAATTACAGCCATCTGAAGACCATCACTATCTTCCTGATGAAAATTTACCCTAAATTTCATAAAAAACATAATATCTCTATAGATCCACAGGAACATGGGCTTAAGTCAACCAAGACAGTTTGTCATGCTACTTTGGGCACCAAGACCTATTCTGGGTCATCAGAGTCCTTGGGCGATGTGTACAGTTGCCAGTAGCATCTTCTGCAGAAATTCCACAGGGAGACAGAAGTGATGCCATCTATACACCTTTCCCAGCCCATGTATTTCTCCTATTCTCCAACTGCATTGCTTGTGTCAGCTGCAAACAGACCTCCACAAAGAATCCAGGAGATACTCTCAGAAGGCCAGGAGGGAAAAGGTCAAAAAGGCCAAGAAACTTTTTGAGGTTAGAAAACTAAACACTGCTGTCCTCTCTTCTCAGAGGACCCCATACTTCTCTGAGAAGCTGTGATGAAACTGAATCACAGAGCCCAAGAAATGCTTCTGGTAAGTACAACTATTAACATGCCTATTCCTGAATATTTAATCTTGCAATTTCTAATTAGTTAAAAGGTTAAAAAAAAAGTGACCAAACCCTTACAAGCACTACTGAAATAGGAAGCAGGTGCACAAATTTTTTTGTGCACCTGCACAAAAATGGATATAGATTTATGTTTTGAACCATGTGCTGCAACGAACAACTAAAACCCAAAAAGACAAATACTTTTGGACTTGTGAAGCATCATAACACAAAATCAGACTTAAGTGACAGCAGGCAGCTACTTACCAGTTAGATTTACCTCTGACTGTGAAGTATAGGACCATCTAACAGCTAAATCTCCTCTCAGATTCTGACATGCCTCATCTACAGTGTCATATTTCTGATACATGCCAGGTTTTACATGTTGACACTTCACAAATACATTTTTTCCTGACAGCTCCCTTACTAGCCAACTCCAATGACAGATGACTGAAGCCACAGAGTAAATGGTGTAGCTTCCCTATATTCATGGTACAGAGAGCAAATCTGGTGTAACAACATGTGAAATACTGCCCTTGCAAGGTCTGACTCAACTAACTTTACAGCTTCAAAGTAGCAGAGTCAAGCTCCTTCTGGTACACCAAAGAGCAGGTAACTCAACACAATGTACCTCCAGTAGATGTGTGCCCCATGGGAGAGCTGGGCTCAGTAGCTCTCCTCTTTGCTCCTGAGAAACAAAGTGGCAGGACTCCACCATCACTTCCAAAGTGAACAGCACCACATTCTCTGTGGGAATCATCCTCACTCAGAAAACAGCATAAAAGAAACGGAAGAAAACAATCAGGGCCCTCACAAAATCTGCAGCTGTGCGAAGAACTTGCTCTATAGCCCATATGTACTCCTTATGCACACAGCCAATGCTTTATTCAGGTCACCAAACGAAATTCTCTTGACAAGGAAAGCAATAAAGCAAGACCAAAGGGGTAGGTCATATCTGTACCTTCACCGAACATGGAGATTAAAAAAAAGGTAGGAAAAACACCCAAGCAATCAGGTAAGGAAATGAGAAAAACACCTGTATGCGTATCCTCACTAAAAGAAGCTACATGTGAAACCAAGAAATCCAGCAACTACATAAGTAATCACATTACAAAACAACAAAACACTAATGTTCCTTCTTCAGTGAGTTACTTCAAAACTCTTTCAGTATTATTTTGCATTGCTCAGGACCAACTTCATAGAAAATGTAGAAATAAAAATACAGACTCAATTCTATAAGCATAGGTTCACATTTAGCTTTATTTCCTTCATACCACAAGCAGAGTCAGTCTTCACTGTACAAACCAAAGATAATTAACAACACTATTATACATCAATCTAGACAGATATTGCTGACTTAAGTCTAAATGGCTTGAAAGAAGACTGGCTGTACAGCCACCATGGACTCATTTGGAAAATGTATTTTCAGCTCAGTAAATTTTATTCCCAAAATGCCTTTTCAGATTTAGGAACTGCAATTACAATTTCGAGACACAGTCCTTCTCAAACACAACTTTCCTCCCCAGCTTTCACTTTCCCCTCTTCCCTTTCCTTCCCACAATCAAGCTATTAACTCTTAAATAAATGGAATAAGCACTTAACATCAGCAGCCACAAGGGTCTGTTGGCTCCTATCTCCTGTTTAAAGGTCTGTTTAAACGGGAATTAAAATAAATCGCTTCTGTGGATTTAGGCCCAAAAGCTCAAATTGGCAAACAGAGGTACTTGACCTCTCTGGAGCAGTCCCAGGAGCAACCACAGACAAACCACGCAGGCCCTGGAGAAGTTCTCCAGAGACAAACACCATTTTCAGAAGTTTGCTACCTGAATGCAAATTAGGGAACTGTCCCCTGTGCTCGCCTTCCAAAACCCTGAAGTGCAACTTCGGGTTTGCGTTCCCTGTCTTTGCATCTTCCTAGCGCAGTGAAAAGCAAACCACAGACTTCGTGTCCAGCCTGCTTTTAAAAACGAAGTACTTCTTTAAGATGCAATGGCCGCCCTGAGCAGTGACATTATTTGACCCGAACATCTACGTGTGTTTGTTTCAAAGCTGGTCACCAGAAACCACGACCATCTCCAGGTCAAGCAGCCGCACGCACGGCAATGCCAGGCTGGCACACATCTCCAGACCCACACCTCAGCTGCGACGACAGATGCCCTAATTCCGCTTAGCTTTAGGAACAGCTTAAGTATCTTCCTTGTGAATGGACTTTGATGTGCCTTCGTTTGGACAGCGTGCTGGAAGCAGCACTCGTGATGCCTTTTTAAGGCCGAGGCCACCGGCCCCGAGCGTCCTCGCCGTGGCGGCGCCCCCTCCCCCGGCCCCAGGACCGCGGTGTCGGGGGGACACGGAGTCCCCGCCTGGCCCGGGGGAAGCCGCAGGAGCGGGGCGGGGAGTCCCGACCCCCCGGCCCCGCCGCCCCCGGTCCCGCTCACCCTTCTTGTCCATGAGCCACATGAAGAAGAAGCAGGGCGCGAAGCCGATGGGCCCCCAGAAGACGAGTAGGGCGATGTCCCAGCCGCTGAAGCCGAAGGCCAGGCGGGCCGAGTTCTGGATGGGGCCCCAGGTGTTCCACACCAGGCCCTGCGCGAAGCCCAGCAGCGAGAACAGCAGCAGCACCAGCCACCGCCGCCCGTACACGCGGCCCGACAGCGGCGGCAGCCGCCCCGCCGGGCCCCCCGCCGGCCCCCGCGCCTGCGGCCGCGCCTGCGGCGGCGGCGGCGGCAGGAGGGGCCGCCGCTCCTCCGCGGTGCTCCAGCCCAAGCCCATCTGCTGGGGCGCTGCCGGGGGCCCGCGGGGGAGCAGGGGACGGGGCCGGGCACAGGGACACCCACACCTCAGCCCCCGAGCGCGGCAGCGCTGCCCCGGCCCGGCACAGCCGCATGCGCGGTCGGGGAGGGCCGGCGGCCGCCTCCTTCCTCCGCCGGCGAGGGGAGGAGGGAAGCGGCGGCGGCGAGAGTCCGGTCCGCCGCCCGCGGGGAGAGAGCCGCGCCGGCGGGCAGCGGGGGCGTGCGCGGCGGGGAGGCCACTGGGCCGTCACCCCGCGGGGAGAGGGGTCCGGGGCAGGAGGGGGCGACTCCCGAGAGCAGCTCTCGGCTGTCACCGGCGGGGCCGCGGAGCTCCGGCCGTCACGCCGCCGCCCGGCTCCGCCCCGCCGCCGCTGCCGGGCCGCGCTGCCCCTTCCGCCGCCCAAGGCCGTGCCGAGCGGAGCCCCCGCAGTAAGAGCTGCAGGAGCATGGCCGGGGCGGAGAGCGGCCGTCCCCCTGCGCCGGGTAGGTGCCCCCCGGCCCCCCGCCCCGGCCCGGGCCCCAGCGCGGGGAGGCTCCGGGTCCGGCCCAGCGGGCACGGGGAGCAGGAGGCGGCGGCGGCTGTAGCGGGGCCCGCTGTGCCTCCCCCGCCGCTTCTCCTCCCGCACGTCCCGCTCAGCCGAACCTGCGTGGGTACCTGCGTGCAGGGAAATACCGCAGCGGGGAGTCTGTGCTTTTAAAGGGAGAAGGAAAGCGTGTTGAGTTGAGGTGGTTACAAATCAGCCATGGGCCGAACTGGGGGGAATAAACAGTAGGGTTCAGGTAAAACCTGCACTGAAATCCATTGTGAAATAATTCAGGTGAATATAACATAATGTGGGGGACACTGTGCTTATTAGAAACTATTATAATTTAAAAAGAGTGAAGGATATGTTATTTCAGTTAGGTTGTGTGAGAATTTATCTGTATATCAACCATCTGCATTTGTCATAAAATTAATGGCTCGTATGCTGCACAGTGCTTCATCTTCCCTTAAAAAAAAATGGGTATTTCAGTGTGGCTTGTTTAGGCATTCTGTCAAAGTCTGGAAGTTGGCTCGATAAATACCTGTGTGTGTAACTGGGGAGAGCTGAACAGTGGGGTCCCCACGGGCTGGTTTTAGATCCAGTGTCAGTAGTCTTGATGTGCTGGGCAGCACAAAGCTGAATTTCACGTGGTGCTCGTCCCGCAGTTTTGCAGCCAAACCCACAGACTCACGTGAAGTTCTTCATGAAACATACGACATTGCATTTTGTTTAGTTCACACAGCTCTGTTTGCTAGACTGAAGGTGCAAAAAGGAAGTATATGCTGACTGAAATCAGCAGAACTATGATGAGAAAGCAAATTCTATTTTGTTTAGAAAAGTTCAGGAAATTCCCCAGGAAAAATAAGATTCATGCACATTTAAATAATGAGGGGACATGCAGAAAATAAACTAAAATTTTAGTTTGCTGTTTACAGCTGTAGTGACAAAAGTACAGTAAAAATACAGGATGAGATTCAGATTTCATCATGACTGATGGATATTCTGGTAGTGCTTTGGGGCTCCAGCTAAGATTAATTCCCTGTTTTACTAAGTCTTTTTCATACATTACCACCTCAGCATAGTTTAGCCTATGCCAAAGTGTTCTTTCAATTAAGAAGGGCTATGTTACTACTATAATTTAAGTGATTTGGTGGCATTCAGCCAAAGTGCTGTTATTTGCAGAAGTAAACTAAAGTGAAAAAATATTTCTTTCTTTGAACATTTTTCAATTAACCGTAGTATTCATGGAGGTTTCATGTTTCTAGTGGCAGGAAACCCATCCAAAAATAAAGCAAATGGGGCTTTGCAGTGTCCTTTTAACTGCAAAAATTACTTGTGCCCCTCACTATCTGCACAGTCAAAGGAAAACTTGAATATAAGCAGGATAATTCTTTGATAAATTATCTTACGATGGGTTTAAAGATATTTCGACTCTTGCATGGGTCAGCAAGAAAGAAAAAATTCTGAAAAACAGCAGCAAACTAAAGGGGCTGTCAAAATAGGCTAAAAAAATCTAGGTATATTTATTATTGACTTAATCATGGTTAAAATAATTTATTTTGATTGCTTGATTTGAAATTGCTCCATCTTTCCCTAGCTTCACAACCCATATGCGCATCTTTCAGTCATGGCCTGACCTTTTCTATTCCAGCTATTTAATTAACACAGTGTAATATTCTGTGTGAATTATTCTTGTTTGCAGGATATGGTACCGTTTAAATTTGTTAATGCAAAGGAGCAGTGCATTGTTGATAAACTGTTGGAAACCAAATTAGCTTTATCTTGCAGCTAGCTGATTGCATTATTTCACTCATGGGTATAATAATTCTCTAAATATGCTAATTTCACTCTTTTCTCCGTGTGGTGACATTTTTACTGTTCTTGTTACTGACATTTGTAATATTTGGGGTGGGGAAATTTTTCTTGCTTTAACCTCATTATAATGTAGCTAAAGAAATTTGAATATTATCAGATGAAATGCACATATAGTCAGGCTAGCGGAAAGGTTATTTTGTGTCCTGGTCCATAACTTTCATGTCTGTAGCAGGACTTGCATGGACTTAATGGCACCTAGATCCAAAACTGTGAAGCAGATGCCCATCCAGGTACCAACTGCCCAACCACGATAGCATATCCATTGGTAGGTGCCTCCATTTCTAATCTAAAACCTCTCAAGGTGGCTGCATGTCCATATTTATGCCTGTCTGCCTGTGTCTGGCCTAAAACATTATGGAATTCATCTTAGGAGGAGTTGGTGGCCTGAAGCTCTGATAGACTAGTGGTGACAGACAAAAATTATGTGGCTGAAACTGTTATTGCTGCCAAATGCTCATCCCATCCCTGAGGCAGGCCTGGCTGATCCACTGCAGAGTTGGCACCTATAGTGTGCCAATTTAAGCTTTAAGCCTTAAGAATAGAAACTGAGGCTTTGACAGGTTTGTTATAAACTTGAGGCATTTGGAGAGTCCAGTTCAGCTAAAACATATCTATCATGTCATGGCTGAGCTGGGCAGTCCAGGAGAGTATCCTCCCTATGGAGCAACCAACCTCCAATTCCTAGTGCCTTAGGAAGTCACGTTTGCTCTCTCCAGTTACCGTGCTTTTGACAGATTTATTCTCCATGTGACTTTTCAGAGATACCTAATGAACTTCAGCATCCCCTGGGTTCTCATGCCTCTCTCCCCAAAACTAATATCATGTGTACAATCTTGTCATTTTTGTGTCAACTCATACCTTGCACTGTGACAAGCAACAAGTGACTCTATATCCTATGAAGTCTAGAAGCATTTTGGCACAAAATGGGCAGAACCTGAAATTAATTCAAAGATTCAAAAGTGGCGTCTAACCAATTCTGAATATTCCTTCCAGCGTCTAAAAAAAGGCCCATTTTCCAGGGATTTCCCTCAATTTCTAGATTTCTGCTGGAGTTGTGACAGTGCAGTTTCAGAGCTGCCATAAGCAGCACTAGTGTAGCAGGGAGCTGTAATGAGTATGTTCTTTACACCCTGTCTTGAACAACACCTCTGAAGGTGAGCCTGTGAGGTGTGAGTAAATCCCATTCTTCCCTCAAGTTTTGACATCACTTCTAGTTACTCAGGAACAGGTTGTTTAAAATCTGCTCTGTCTTGGGCTTGGTTTGGGCACCTTCCAGTCTGTGTATTCAGTAACTTTCAGCATCTTTTCTTGCCATTCTTTTTTATTGAGAAGTAGGTAGACTCTGGCTCTAATGTCATACAACAATTTACTTGTACTTCAGGAGAAAGATGGTTTTACAGTGCTTCCTTTTCCCTTTTTGTAGTATCAACAGGAAAAGAAAATATGGACACAACATCAGTTTATGAAAGCTGAACAGTTTTATTATTAAATTCAAACACCAATGTTTTCCAATGGGGAATTCATTTATAACTTTTGACTGCAGGCTGTGTGTATCCCCATTGCAAAGTCGCCATTGTAGTGGAGATGATTCTAGCTTTGCAGTGAGACAGAGCCCATTCCAGGGTGCTTTAGGGAGATGCACTCCCTTTTTTTGTGGAATCTACCTTTGTGGTTGGCAATGAAAGATATGTCTCCAGATTTCCTGTAGACCACACTGCAGGCTCTTTACTGTGGTTCTCAAAAGGAATATGCAAAAGTCACACCTGACTTGGGCTTTGAGCATATTTAAAGCATTTTGTACTCCATTTATGCTTGTTCTGCCATTCATCACCTGCTTAACAATGAAGATGTAGGTGATGATTGTCCCTTCTTTGAGGGGGCAGTGGAAGCTGCATGATGTCTTTCATCCAAGCTCATTTTGATGACTACTTCCCTCCCTCACTTAGCCTTCAGGCTCCCTGTCTGGGGTATTTTAGGGAGGTGTTTTAGGGAGGTTATATTGGAGCTCCAACCTCATCAGACCACCGCCCCCATGTTCTTTCATTTTATTCAGAGCCAACATGTGCAAGTGACTGCAGACAACATCAATGGAGTATTTAACCTCCCAAAACTGTGTTAGGGAAATTCAGTTTCAAAGACTAATGGTTTCGTCTCTTCCTGAAACCCTGAGAATTATGGAAATGAACTGAGTCGCATGAGAATGTTAGGTTTGAATTGGAAATACAGGGTGAAAATCTCCACCTGTCTCCTTGGGCTAGGACTGCCTCAGCGCAGCTCTCATTGTCTGTGATGCCAGCAAGAACAGATAGTCGTAGTGCTCTGGTACTGGTCTGTCTGTTGTGTGATGAGTGCGTTTCTCATTTCTGATCAGGCTGCGCCATTGTTCTCCTGTTGTCATTCGTGGAATCAGCAAGGGGTAACTTAATTACTGCTCTGCTGTAATTAGCGATGTAGGCATTAGAGAGTTTGTTTCTGTTGGTCTGGCCAGTCACGCTTAGCTCATAGGTATGGTATGAGCTCTGCAAATGAGTCTTCTGAAGACCTGATTGTCTGGGTGGGTGTTTGGGATTGAGGATGTAAAGCTCATAAAATGTTGTTTGCTTTTTTGAAAATATTACACTGTCATGTAATTCTGTATAGAAAGAAAAGGCTAAATGTATTATTTCTGTATCTTTTCTGAAGAGGGGCATGATTTAAGTTTCAGTTATTCTAGGCTTTGTGATCACAGACACAATGAGATTCTTGGGAGTAGATACAGTAGCATGAGATTTTGGGTATAAGTATTTTAAAAAAAGAGCGATGGTGAGGTAGTTTAGATGTTTGGTATAAAAGTGCAGCTTTAACCTTTTGTAGTTTTATTATTTTGCTAATGTTCAGGGAGTTCTCTTAAATTTCCATGTACCATATGCTTTTGCTGACTGGACATAGAAGACATTATTGCTTCTAATACTAGTATTAAATC